TTCGTATCATCGGCAAATGTGCAAATGTTGCTACTCAAACCTGAATCTAAATCATTTATATATATTATAAACAACAGAGGTCCCAGGACAGAGCCTTGAGGCACTCCACTTACAACATTTTCCCACTCTGACTTGATTCCATTTATACTAACTCTGTTTCCTTTGGTATAGCCATGCCCTAATCCAGCTTAATATAGCACCCCCAATACCATGAGACTCTATCTTTTTAATCAGTCTTTCATGTGGCACTGTATCAAAAGCTTTGCTAAAGTCAAGGTATACAACATCGCAATCCTTACCACTATCAACTGCCTCAACAATGCTAGAATAAAAAGATAACAAATTTGTTAAACATGAACGGCCATTTATAAAACCATGTTGCGACTCAATTATTAATTTATGTTTTTCAAGATGAAGACGAACTTTATTTGCTATTATAGATTCGAGTAACTTTCCCACAATAGACGTTAGGCTAATTGGTCGATAGTTAGACGCAAGTGATCTATCTCCTTTCTTAAAAACTGGTATCACATTAGCAACTTTCCAAATCTCTGGCACTCTGCCTGACTCTATTGATTTATTAAATATGGTTGACAGTGGGTCACAAAGCTCCTCTTTGCATTCTTTAAGCACCCTGGCAAACACTTCATCCGGCCCTGGGGATTTGTTTGGTTTGAGTTTTACTATTTGTTTAAGAACATCCTCCCTGGTAACTGCTAAACTCGTCAACCTGTCCTCGTCCCCACCCACATAGACTTGTTCGGCTGAAGGCATATTGTTAAGTTCCTCTTTAGTAAATACAGATACAAAATATTTATTAAAAATACTACTCATCTCTTCATCACTATCTGTTATTTGACCTGTCTCAGTTTTTAATGGACCTATCCTTTCCCTAGTCTTAGTACGATATAACTGAAAAAACCCTTTAGGATTTGTCTTTGCTTGCCCTGCTATGCGAACTTCATAGTTTCTTTTTGCTTTCCTTATCTCTTTTTTAACATTTCTAACCAGTTGTACGAATTCCTGTTCTAAAGTGACCTCCCCATTTTTAATCCTTTTGTACCAAGCTCTCTTTTTACCTATAAGGTTCTTCAAATTCTTTGTTATCCACTTTGGGTCATTAGTATTCGATCTATTCAATTTGTATGGTATACTACGTTCCTGTGCTTTGTTTAGAATATTCTTAAATAAGTTATATATTGAATCCACATCGAAATCCCCATTTAAGTCACCTATCGCTGGGTTCATGTCTCGCTCCCCCTTCTTGAGCTGTATATCATCTATGTTACTGAGGAACTTCCTATTTCTTGGACCAACAGTATAATCATTCCAATTCCCAGGACAAATCAAAAGAATGCTTTCCGCCCACTTTCCCTTACTAGCTATATTTGCAAAACATTCAAGAGAATGGCCCTAATCCGTCTCCTCCATAGAGTAAAACCATGCTATCCCCCCAGATATTTTATATATATATATATATATATATATATATATATATTATATATATATATATATATATATATATATATATATATATATATATGCATACTGAAAAAACTATTTTCCTGCCCCTCCCGCAATTATGAATTACATTTATACAATTGAAAAATTATGAATAAAATCTCTGTTAATTTATATGTATATATATTATAAAGTTGGAAACATTGCACATATTATTAAGGATTGGTGAGACTCGCTCGGAAATTGAGCAGTGTCTCAATTTCCTGAAGTTGAAAAACATTTGAAAAGTTGAAGTTGGAAAAACATTACCTGGGAAAAATTAGTGAAACATTCCGTCCATAGTTAGGCGGTTCTAATTCACTGACTTGATCATAATTTCCCATACCTATTGCTGGGGATGTGTACTCCAGCATGTTAAAGTTTACCTCAATTATTTCTCCAATTACAAAATGAAAAAATTTGTTTTTTTTTAATTTAGAATGTATTTCTATGTACATTCGCATATTAAATAGTATTTAACATGTCACTGCATTTATTTGCTATCCAATGATATCATTAAACCTGTTTTATCATTTATTTACGTATGAACTGATGCAAGCAAGCAATTCTTGTTAATTCAAAGCGTTTGGGCAACTTCTTGCAGCAGCAAATTAATTTACCTTCAAGGCGTGATTATCTTACAAACCATAATAGCTGTGTTCACTGTAAATAGCTTTGATGATGAACACACACAAATCACAATAGCGTGATATAACAAATGAACAAATCCACAAAGGCTTTGATGAGGGTTCGAACCTACGTCCGGGATGATCCCTGACGCGCCTTAGAATTCTTTTACCATGTGGAGCAGTCGACTAAGGCGCGTCTGGGTTAATCCAGAACGCAGGTTCGAACCCTCATCACGGTCCTTGAGGATTTGTTCATTAGCTATGATGAGTTTGGTTGAAATATTACTGCCAGCTAAAATAAGGAAGGCGGGAGGCGCCTGGAAGTGCGAGGCGACGGCAGCCAGTTTATGCGTCTCGTATCAGTAGAGTAATAATGTTTCCCTGCAATTTCCCCACTTCGTCCTCTTACAAATTATGTCGCTTTTCGCTCGTATGCGCTACGGCCAAGAAAGTCCACAATTTGAAAATAAAAAAATAATTTTAAATATTTTTTTTTAACAGCAAGTCCTCTGGTAGGTTAGGAGGGCAGAAAGTTCTCCTAAGGTTTCAAAACGTCATGAAAACCGTTAATTGAAAGTTTCCTCTCCTAACCTAACAGCCTAAGCCAGAGGACCCAAAACAGAAAAACAGGACAGTACGTCACTTTCAGGAGCTGATTCCATTTTAAATTTCCTTTTTTAGCCTGAGTGCGAATACGAGTGAAAAGCAACGTAATTTGTAATGGGATGGGCTTACCTTCCAAGTCACCATTATACCAGCCAGGTATTTTGGGATAAGATGGCTCATCAAAATAGATGGTGCACTGCCCTAGACCCATCCTCCCACGCCAAGCTCTTACCCAGCACTAATCCCCACACCAGCTATGTACCACCACAACACAATTTCACCGGGTTGGTATGCTAATGAGCACCAGAGATATTAGCGAAAAAAATACGGAAATATCAAATTTGCATAAAAATGCGACGTTTAGACAAAATTATGTATAACAGCAAGTATAATCCACCCCCCCCCCCTTTACCTTCTATTAGGGGGGGAGGGTTAATTAGCCATAATTAAATTTTTTCTGATCTGGACCTCCAAGGCCCAGGTCAGGGGTCCCGAGTGCCTCCAGGGCCCAGGTCAGGGGTCCCGAGTGCCTCCAGGGCCCAGGTCAGGGGTCCCGAGTGCCTCCAGGGCCCAGGTCAGGGGTCCCGAGTGCCTCCAGGGCCCAGGTCAGGGGTCCCGAGTGCCTCCAGGGCCCAGGTCAGGGGTCCCGAGTGCCTCCAGGGCCCAGGTCAGGGGTCCCGAGTGCCTCCAGGGGGGCCCAGGTCAGGGGTCCCGAGTGCAGGGCCCAGGTCAGGGGTCCCGAGTGCCTCCAGGGCCCAGGTCAGGGGTCCCGAGTGCCTCCAGGGCCCAGGTCAGGGGTCCCGAGTGCCTCCAGGGCCCAGGTCAGGGGTCCCGAGTGCCTCCAGGGCCCAGGTCAGGGGTCCCGAGTGCCTCCAGGGCCCAGGTCAGGGGTCCCGAGTGCCTCCAGGGCCCAGGTCAGGGGTCCCGAGTGCCTCCAGGGCCCAGGTCAGGGGTCCCGAGTGCCTCCAGGGCCCAGGTCAGGGGTCCCGAGTGCCTCCAGGGCCCAGGTCAGGGGTCCCGAGTGCCTCCAGGGCCCAGGTCAGGGGTCCCGAGTGCCTCCAGGGCCCAGGTCAGGGGTCCCGAGTGCCTCCAGGGCCCAGGTCAGGGGTCCCGAGTGCCTCCAGGGCCCAGGTCAGGGGTCCCGAGTGCCTCCAGGGCCCAGGTCAGGGGTCCCGAGTGCCTCAGGGGTCCCGAGTGCCTCCAGGGCCCAGGTCAGGGGTCCCGAGTGCCTCCAGGGCCCAGGTCAGGGGTCCCGAGTGCCTCCAGGGCCCAGGTCAGGGGTCCCGAGTGCCTCCAGGGCCCAGGTCAGGGGTCCCGAGTGCCTCCAGGGCCCAGGTCAGGGGTCCCGAGTGCCTCCAAGGCCCAGGTCAGGGGTCCCGAGTGCCTCCAAGGCCCAGGTCAGGGGTCCCGAGTGCCTCCAAGGCCCAGGTCAGGGGTCCCGAGTGCCTCCAAGGCCCAGGTCAGGGGTCCCGAGTGCCTCCAAGGCCCAGGTCAGGGGTCCCGAGTGCCTCCAAGGCCCAGGTCAGGGGTCCCGAGTGCCTCCAAGGCCCAGGTCAGGGGTCCCGAGTGCCTCCAAGGCCCAGGTCAGGGGTCCCGAGTGCCTCCAAGGCCCAGGTCAGGGGTCCCGAGTGCCTCCAAGGCCCAGGTCAGGGGTCCCGAGTGCCTCCAAGGCCCAGGTCAGGGGTCCCGAGTGCCTCCAAGGCCCAGGTCAGGGGTCCCGAGTGCCTCCAAGGCCCAGGTCAGGGGTCCCGAGTGCCTCCAAGGCCCAGGTCAGGGGTCCCGAGTGCCTCCAAGGCCCAGGTCAGGGGTCCCGAGTGCCTCCAAGGCCCAGGTCAGGGGTCCCGAGTGCCTCCAAGGCCCAGGTCAGGGGTCCCGAGTGCCTCCAAGGCCCAGGTCAGGGGTCCCGAGTGCCTCCAAGGCCCAGGTTGGGGGCCCGAGTGCCCGTGATCAGTTTAGGGATTTGACGCTTCCCCAAAATGGCTTTTTGTGAATATTGTCTTATAATTTATACGAAAACATTCTTTGGAAGCAAGGAAATTGGAACGTACCTTAAAATTAGAAGAACTTTGTCCATCGACGAGCTGTCGGTTTTTACTTACCTGTAAAGACATAATGTCAATTATTCACAAGAATTAGTGAAGTCTTCGTAACATTAAATCCTCACACAAATATAATACAATACCGTTATGAATGACCACATTGTTATCTATATATACATAAGCAGCTCAGGTGAAGGCGATACTTGAAGATCGAGGTGTTTCCTACCTTTACTTGAAGGACGAGGGCGCTGGGGTAGCTCGTCCAGTGAGGCCGGGCAGGTGTTGGTCCACTCAACACTGCCTGCCACACACTCCCATACACAAACTTGTAATTTTCAATTAGGATATATTATGCAACATTCACGTATATTTCAAAATGTTTTAAACACTCAACACTAGACAAGAAACACTGGACGAAGTGTTGGAGCTGCCGACAAGTAAATAACTTTGCCACAACAGAAACAGCTTGTTGTCGTCTGGTATTTATTACAAAACACTGAACACTTGCAGGTCAACAAAATCACGCACGGTAATGACATTTTCTGTTTTGATGTCTAACTTAACTTTTCACTTACACCACAGATGTGACCTTTAGGGTCTTGTTAGACAAGAACAAAGTAATTAAAATATTCTTATAAAGCAAGACTTGTCCAGTCATAACCACAATGTGCACTTTTAGCATCAAGGCAGACAAGAAACGAGGAATTAAAGTTCCGGAGCCACTATCACACAAGAATTGTCCACTGATAACATGTCATTGTTAGTCAACATTGTCTCTCTATAACTCACTTTACCCAAACGCATGTTTATTTTTTCTTCAGTAACACTGATGTTTAGATGTTTTCGTCACTTATCACAACACACCCTTCACTAAGTTGGTGTTGGGGTTAAGGCCTATCAACCTCTGGAGAGGTTATTAAGGCCACCACAACTGTTTACCGATAAACAAGCAAGTACACAAGTTTACTTCTGTACTTGTACACAACCAAGTACAAGGCAAGTTAGCCCTGAACACAGGACTAAAGGAAACTCACTGTATAAACACCTATAAATGGTGTACACTTCTTGGTGTACATACACCCCAGTGCACGCACGTCCCTCACTAAGCATAGCTGACGACCTTATGAGGTGACCCGCGAAAGTAGAGGGTTCAGAAGCCTCTCCAGCTTCCCCACGACCCGTTTATGAACCTGCTCGAAGCCTCGTGGTGCATCATCACAGCCCGTCCTCTCCAGTTGCCAACCCGTCCTCGACTCAAGTCCATTACATCCAGCGGTCGAAAAAGCCCGTCCTCCAAACAAAGACCCAAAAGGGATTCCATGCACCCGCCAAACCCCCTGTTTATGAATGAAAAACGGTTTACACACGACTCCCAACCGATTTCGTTCGAACACTTCAGGAACAAGTGCTTCACTGACGAATTTTGTTCGAACCACAACACTGTAAATGCTTCACCCGCACACCACAAATACAAATAATCGCCAACAGAACCTAAACACCTAATCTAACCTAACCTATGCCTATATATGTACAATATGCTAATATATTATAATATTAATTTATATTTAAGAACATTCCTGTTTTGAATGAACAGCATGTAAAAGTTTATGAAAGCGTCTGTGGGGTCGACCGCTGGATGTAATGGACTTGAGTCGAGGACGGGTTGCAAGTCCATTACATCCAGCAGTCGACCCCCACAGACGCATTCATATATTTGTACATGTTGTTCATTCAAAACGGGAACTTCCTCAAATGTAAATTAATATTATATCATATTAGCATATTGTGCATATATAGGCATAGGTTAGGTTAGGTATTTCGGTTCTGTTAGCGATTATTTGTATTTTTAGTACGTGGGCAACAACACAATTATTGGTTCAGTTCTTTTACTATGCGCCCCATACGCATCCTGGAGGCGGTAGACCGGTAGTGCACCCCATTCAAGTTCAAATACGTTTATTGAGACAATAAAATACATCCCAAAGGGATAGAGTAGTTTAGGCTATTTCTACCCTCCTAGCGCACCCTATACATAACTTTTTTATTTTTCTTTATTAAATAATACAATATAAAGACCATATTTATATAAATTTGCAAAGGAATACTACATTTATATATATTTTATATAATTCTCAGTAAGCCAGTTTTCCATATCATCTAGTTTAAGTGAACAGTCGCGCACAGTCCTGGGTTAAAAACCGTTTAAATTTTCCAAGGAAATTCTCCCGCATACCTTGGTCTATCTCCATTTTGTTTAACAATTTCTCTAATTCACCTCGAACTTAACATACAATCCCGTCCGTATTTGTCATATCCGTATCATCACGTGCTTTGGTACTAGTTACAAGCGCTATATACTCTTGTTATTCTTGACTTAACAAATGTGGAGAGAGTTTTTCATCATACATCCTATCATTAATCTGGAGGCGAACATCGACTCCTTCAGATATTTCATCTCGCATTATGTTAATTCTGTCCTTTAAAATAGTAATTCCTTAAAAGGCCATATTTTTTAGCCTTTCATTTCACGAAAATGTTTTACACATGTCCCACCACTCCAATAGACATTGGAACTTTTGTTTTTTGCCAAACCAGGTGTTCCTGCAATACTTGAAATTTATCAATTACATCTTTTTTCTGCAACAGACTGCAAATGAGCTTCCATGACCCTGTCCCCACTTTAACCTGATCGTTAATAACAAGCTTCACCAAAGCCAATCAATGATCTGAACAGCTGACCGGAACATTACTGCAAGAGCTAATTTTATCATGTAATGTGTGCATATATATTCTATCAAGCCTAGAACCAAAACTCTGGCGAACATATGTGTATTCAGAGACACCCCCGTTAATGCTATTCGCATCCTTGAGACAAATGCTTTTCAAAAGTGTAATTAAAGCAGGAGATACACATGTGTTCGACTGAGTGCTACAATCTCTCACGTAAGTGACAATTAAAGTCGCCACTAAAGACAATATTATGTGTATCATTTCTGAAAAAATATAATAATTCTTTAGAGAACAATTTATCCCTCGCTTTCTTCTTGCGGATGCCAGAGGAAGCATACACATTAAGCAGAGGAATTATGGTGTCAAACGTAAAGGAAATCTTTGCATCTAAAACATTACCATTATCATCCATTTCGGTATTAAGAACCTTTATGTGGGCTTGTTTGACAATCAATGTCAACGTACCACTTTTCAACAGGTTCATAGGAGTTATTAAGATTTCAAAGTAATCAAGCAGCACATCAAGTTTCTTAAAATCTTGTATATTGTATTCTTACACTTAAAGCACATCCAATTTATATTTAAACAAAGATATTAGTTGCAACTGTTTGATTCTACAATTAAGACCATTAATGTTTAAAGTAGCACAATTAAAATTAATAGGCTTCCCAAATGTAATTTTGAGAGAAAAAATTACTCCTTATCAATCATTATCTCACTCGACACTATGTGTCATCTCTCCCTTTTCGAAATCTAAGTTTAATATTTTCTCTTCACGACTCGATTCTGTATCACAGTATCTCACCACGCATTTTGCAAACCTTGACACTAAGAGAAGAAATGTAGACATTTACATACCACAGAGTCTATCACAGATTAATAAAGTAATTAGAAACAGAGCAACGCAAAAGATGTACAGTGACCACAACACAGCAGTTGCAACATCAGGATCTGCGGGTTGGTACAAGAATTCAACCAACTACGAACCACTTAGTTTGATGAAAGGGAGCAGTAGAACAACAGAAGTACACTTATATCGCATCAGGCTTGGATACCCTTGTGCATGGGAAATAGGCTTACATGTTCCGGAAGATGAGAGGAAATGTCAGCACTGTGGAGAAATGCCCGACAGACCACTGGAACATTATCTAACACAGTGCACAGTTACAACCATAACAGACCACTGGAACATTATCTAACACAGTGCACAGTTACAACCACAACAGACCACTGGAACATTATCTAACACAGTGCACAGGTACAACCATAACAGACCACTGGAACATTATCTAACACAGTGCAGTTACAAACCCATTAAGATTTCAACTTAGATTCAACAGAGCAGAAAAAGTTGTAAAACACATGGGACAAAATCTTACTGAAGCGACCATACGAGTCATAAATATTCATACTCCGCCCAAGTAAAACAGAAACAAGCAACACTTAGTGGGCCAAATGAGGGCCCGCGCAGGAATATCCCTGCAAAAAAAAAAAAAGTTGCAATTTTTAACAAGATCACCACTCACCGGTTGTACTGTGCCCTCGCTACTTTTTGGTAACTTCGTGACCTTGGCCACGGTGAACTTCAACGGCAACCACCTGGTAAATTTGTTCAAACTTTTAATTTAGCGGCAGTCCTTCATACGTTTCAGTTCAATACACCGTGTTAATTTGCCCGAAACGCTATGCGTCCTAGTGGCTTTAGGTATTGTATGTACTAGCTCTATCTATAAATTCAACATTATGTTTGTAAATCAACTATGTATGTACTTTCCTGAATATAATTTACTTTACTTACATGACTGGTTACATAACCAACTTTCACGACACTTATCCTTTCTACCAGACCTTACAGAAGAGGGTGGAGTTGCCCTCTCCACAGACATTTCTTCGTCACTTTTTTTTTATTAATACATTAGGTACATCTGCATGTGTGCAGCTACCCTAGACTATATGAAGGGGAGTATAGTGTGTCAAAAGCTAGTTACGTGATGCTAAAAAAATCCCCATCACACAGGATGGTTAGTCATACAGAGGCATGTGATAAGTAGTCTGCACTGACAGACTCTGGGTTCGTTATGGGGATATCATGAGCACAAGAGTGAATAAGGCAGAAGTGATAATAAAAGTCCCCATCTCGCAGGATGGTTAGTCATACAGGGCCATATGTTTAGTAGCCTGCACTGGCAAATTTTGGGTACACTGTGAGGATATCTTCAAGAATACGAGAGTGAATAAAGTAATTGCAAAGCTCCAGGTACCTCATGCCAACTGGTCTGAAAGGTCTAATAACTGGGCATTCGGTGATGTAGTGTGGGGAGATCATTCCGAAGTTCCTGCTCACAGAGTTTGCACCTGGAGTGCTCAGGATTGGGAGATCCGTCACCTGTAGCCACCTGCCACAGGTAACGGTAACCCAACGTGATCCTGGCAACCACTGTGTCGCACAATCTAGTGGACGTTTTGTGCTGCCCATAGATATAGGTTTCAGATCTGAACAAATCATAGCTTTTTATACTGGTGCTTTCAGGTCGTTGGGCGTCAGTAATTTCTTTCCTATCAGACCTGAGTGTTGAAATTGAAATTGAAATTGAAATAAGTTTATTGAGGTAAAATACACACAAAGGGATGAGGTAGCTCAAGCTATTCTCACCCCATTCAGTACAACGTGTTAATATATACATAGACACACATCACAAATAAACATATTGCCAAACATTCTGAGAGGTAAACATATACATTTCCTCCTTCACAAGGAGTATGTTATCAGACGTACACACAAATACTTTTATGACCTAGGTATACTGTATAGACAATTTGCAAGAGACATGCAGATAATTCAACAAAATATTACAATCTTGGTGCAAAATTCTTATATCTCTCAAGAATATCATCAACCTTTCCGTTGTGACACATCCAGGCTATTTGTTCAGGCACAGTCCTTATCTCAGTGTTTCTATATACATTAATCAACGGACAATCAAGAACATAATGGGCCAGGGTGAGACCTGAGTGTTTGGACCAATATAGTTTTGACAGTAGAAATGGGGATACCTAGATCTAATTCAACTTTATCTTTGTTGCACGCTAATTTGGCTGTAATGTCTGTCTCATTATGATGGGTTATATTTATGTGTGAAGGTATCCACACAAAGGAGATTCGAGACCCTTTACTCTGTGCAGCAATTAGGTCATTTATAATTGGTAGTATGAGGTTCTTGCTGTCGATCTTCCAGGAGAAGTTTTCGATTGCTTGAAGACCAGACTTTGAATCACAAAATATTATTCCTCCTCCAATGTTTTTTTAATGTACTGGTAGCTAGGTGTAATGCTGCTAGTTCTGCTTGTGTGGAGATCAGCCAGTTGTTT